CCTGAGCCTCTCCAGGCTGCACAATCCCAGCTCCCTCAGCTGCTCCCCGTGAGATTTGTGCTCCTGACATCCCAGCTGCACTGCCCTCCTGTGCACACACTGCACAGCTCCATGTCTTCCTGGCTGTGAGGGGCCCAGAACCAGACAGCGCCATACTTGAGTTACAGCATCACCAGAGCTGGTATCAGTGGAAGCTGACCCTTAGCTAAAGGAAGGGGACACGATGGAGGAAGGGATAGGCAATATTTTGAGAGAAGGGCAGAGTGACGCCCAGCAGCTGCGGCTGGGATGGAAACTTCTGCTTGGAAATGGGACAGCTTTGTTCCTGGGCACAGCCATGGGCTCGCATTACTCTGCCAGTCACGAGGGTGCCTCCCTTTGCTCTGCCCAAAAGTAGAGACAAATGCTGAAGCCGAACAACTGCCTGTGCCCAGGAGGAATTCCTGGCACCTGGTGCAGCAGCGGTCAGCAGCTCCGTGTGACACTGAGATCAGATTTGAGCCAGTTTCATTGCAGCTCCTGCATCACAGCAGGTGCCCAAAGAGGGCAGGCAGCTCCTGGAATTGGGCTGTCCACATGTGCAGGGGCGCTGTGTGCTCCTCTGGTTGCAGAAACAGAGATAGATATTCTGTAGGTTGAACTCTTTCAGTCTGCACTGCCCTCAGCACTGAGATGCAGGGCAGATCCAGCAGAAGTGGTATGGGGCTGGGCCTGAAGTCTAACAGCGGTGAGAAATACCACGGACAAAGTAGAACAATTAAATTCAGGCCTCCACTGGCCTCACTGGCCTCACAAAAATGATATTATCTTAATAGCTCAGTACACATTACTGAACATACATTACTGCAGGACAGCACTGGAAAGTGTGGATAGTGATAGGACAAGAGGGAACGGTTTGAAAGTGAGACAGGGGAGGTTGAGGTTGGATATGAGGAGGAAGTTTTTCCCCCAGAGGGTGGTGAGGCACTGGCACAGGTTGCCCAAGGAGGCTGTGGATGCCCCATCCCTGCAGGCATTCAAGGCCAGGCTGGATGTGGCTCTGGGCAGCCTGGGCTGCTGGTTGGCGACCTGCACACAGCAGGGGTTGGAGCTGGATGAGTGTTGTGGTCTTTTTCGACTCAGCCAAAACTGAAAAAAAGACCCCACATGCACTGCCCTATAGGCTGTCTCCATACCAAAGATGTCCAGCCAGCTTAAGGCAACTCAAATCCACACCATCACCACGAGACAGACCTTCCTGTTTTGTCCTTCCCCAACCACAGATACATCATACCAAAAAGCAAACTATAAACCACTATAAAGAGTGGTTCGAATTGCAAGAATTAGGTTATGGGACTCACTCCCATAAACAAATCATCCTGAGCAGTCATGTGAGCTCAGCCAGCAGGGAGGTGGTGACTTCATGCTGGGTTCCAGCTTTGGTTCAAGGCAGATGCACTCCTGAAGCATGCTACAAGCAGGGCTGTTATCCCATGTATTCCAAAGCTCTCACTCCCTTGCTCTCCTCCTGCTGTTTTGTAGGCAGCTGTGGGAAATCACCTCCTCTCCCTGCCCACTGATGCCATAAAGCAAGCTGTCAACCCTTTTTGGGTTACATCATCTCTACGCTGTGACCATATTACCTGCGCATGCAGACTGCTGCAGCCAGCTTCCTGGCACACGCTGTGAGCCTAAGAGCACACATCCATATTGTATCCCGTTAGGAACCGTGCTGTGTGTGATGTGTCCCTGGTGCAAATACACAAGGAATGGCACACCACAACTCACCGTGTCAGGCTCACTACTTCAGAGCAGCATGGACTGGCTGCGCAGACGGGCAGCAGAGCTACGCTCTGTGCCCAGGCAGAGGCAGAGGCCTGTCCCACTGCTCAGCTTTCAGCTCTGCATATCCCTGTGCCCTGGGACCAGTGTGGATATTCAGAGGCTTCAGAAGATCACTGCACAAAGAGGAGTGATCACAGCGCTGTCCTAGCACAGACTGCCAGACAGCAGCAGCCTAGACACTCCCTGAGGCAGTGTCAGGATGGAATTAGCTTCCAGCAAATAGCTAAGAGCTGGTTAGCCTTGACAGCACTGACTTAAAATCACAGAAGCAGATGCTACCTTCACCTTTCTCACAGTGCAGCATGAGCTGTGCGTGGCCCTGCACTGGGCTGTCAGTGGCTGGGGGCACAGGGGCAGGCTGCTCTGTGACCAGGGCACAGTTCCTGCTCGCCCCACAGCCCTGGAGCTGGCACAAGCACTGCCCTAAGCTGCAAGGCCTGGCAAATCCAGACACTGCACCTGCATGGGAAGAGTGCATTCAGGAAGCCTCAGCTCTGTGTCCAGCACCCTGCGTCCCTGGTCCTCAGAGGAGCAGACAGACGCATAGGGCTGAGTACATGAGCTGCTGTGCACAGCTGTCACACTGAGCTGGGACATGCAGTCTGCATGAAGTTGTAGGCTGGCATTTATTAGTGATTATTTCAAAAAGCCTTGTGTACAGACTGTAAACATGACAAAAGATAAGATCCAACAGATGTCTGTGACAGCAGAGCAGCCTGGGTCTGGTTAGAATTTGTAGGTTTGGGATAGGAAGGCGGATGGTCTACAACAAAGCTGAGATCAGTCCAGCACGTTTCCCCGATCCACAAAATGCCCTGAGCCTCACCTCTTGCTTTTCGTGGTGAGTCTGGAGCTCGTCGTGGTTAGTGTGGGTGCACGGAGCACTCCATAGCAGCACACAGGGATGGCAGGGACAGCACAGCAGAGGCACTGGCAGAGTGCAGCAAGAGGGAAGGGATCGGCAGGACGGACGTAAAATCTGCACAGGAAGACGCAGTGGGATGTAGGGCCACGCACTCAGTAGAGAACGTCCTCGAAGCTGAGCAGCAGGAAGCGGTGCAGGGCGCTGGGCAGGTGCAGCTGGGAGAGCACTGGGAGCAGCCGGCCCTCCAGGAAGGCCCTGAGCGCACAGCGCGCCAGGTGCTGCAGGGAGCGGGGCCTCTGCTGCAGGGAGAACAGCGACTGGTAGAAACGGGGATACTTCTGCAGGGAGAGAACAGAGGGTCAGAGACGCACAGAATGGGAGCAGAGCTGAGCCAGGTGGTTCCCCTCTGCTCCGGCACCCGGCTGCACCCCTCCCCTCCCGCTGCCCTGCAGGGCCCCCCAGCACTTCCCAGACTCCCATCCCTCACCTGCACAACTTCTGCTGGCACCGCCGACACCCACTCCTCAGACACACGCACGTGGTCGTAGCAGTTCATCAGCGCCTCGATGGCACGCGGGCAGGCATTGCAGTACCGCAGCACCTGTGCGTGGGAGGCAGCCCATGGATGGACCCACGGTGCTGTGGGTCACCCCCTCACCTCTCAGAAAGCCGCCTCGGTGCTTCCACCCCCGTGCTGTGCGCCTGGCTGCTTTCCTCACACATCTGGTCAGAGCAGGAGCCACGTGGGGCGGGGACTGACACCGTCCTGTGTGCAGCAGGACCAAAGCACAGCCCTTCCGATGGGAGCTCCGTGGGGCTCCCGGGGCTGCGCTGTGCCGGTGGGGCTGCAGACATCCTCTGCCTGCGCTGTGTGTAATTGGAGTCCCAGCACCGTGCCCCTGTGACCCCAGAAAGGGATCATACGCATTTGGTGCGACACAGATCTCTGCTGTGCGCCGTGCCCAGGCTTTCATGGCACCCAGAAGTGCGAGAGACACAGCTGGGACGGTTTCTCTTACGCCAGCACAGACTTGGGAACGCACAGCACCCACACGTGGCCGTACCCAGCACAGCCCCACGGCTCCGGGTTCCCACTCCCTATGGCCCAGGCCAGCAGCCGCTGTCAGAGTCTATTCTGGCTGTAAGAGTGATCCTCATTATCTGGCGTTAATAGGAGATTAATTAGTGTTAATTGTTGATTTTCCTGTATTTTCCCAAAGGGGAGAGCAATCTGCTGATCTCCGGGCTGGGTAATTATTGCGCTGCTCAGGAATTAAGACAGGAACTTAACTCTTCATTTGCTGGTGTCTCACAGAGGAAGCATGAGCTGGAGGATACACCCCAGGGAGGAGAACCAGCACCTGAGAAGAAGGAAGGCAGCGCTTCCTGAGGCCAGCAGTTATGGAAACTGGGCAGGGATTGTCCATACAGCCGAGCAGATGGGTGCTGTGGAACCCTACAGGAGAACATGCCCCGGGGAGAAAGCTTCAGGAAATCCCTTAGCAATAGCAGCTTTTCCTTCTCCCCCAGGCCCTGGGAAGAAGCAGCCCAGCCAGCGAGCCCAGAGCACACCCTGCAGTGTCAGGATCACCCTCGCTCCCGCTGCAGTCCCGATGTCACCATCCGCCCTCCCCGCCGCACTCCCAGCCCACGCACCTTGAGGAGGGAGCCAGGCCAGATGCGGATGGCCCCGTAGTTGAGCAGGGTCCGCACCACGAGCTCAGGATGGTGCTCCAGCTTGTAGGCAGCTGTCTGCAGGATGTTGTGCAGGGCTGTGTTGCCACTGTAATTCATGATGTTGACGTTTGCGCCCCGGGCCAGCAGTAGCTCTGCTATCTGAGCGCTGGCGTTCTTGCAGGCCAAGTGCAGTGGGTGCTGATGGTCCCTGTCAGCAGCGTTGACGTTGGCACCGCTCTCCACCAGCAGCTGGCAAACCTTGTAGTAGCGCTCCATGTCCTGGGGCGAGTGGGGCTGCGCACAGGCAGCATTGAGCGGCGTCTGCCCCTCCTCGTTCCTCGCCTCCAGCTCTGCTCCGTGTTGCAGCAGCAGCTGGACGTGACTGGGGAGGCCGTGCCGTGCTGCCACGTGCAGCGCTGTGTCCTCCTCCTCCTCTGTCCGGCTGTTCACATGGGCACCGTGCTTCAGCAGCTGCTGAACGCACCTGTGAGGGCCGAGAAGACTCAGTGACAACCCCTCCTCTACAGCTTCTATCCTACCTGCAACCCCCATATCTTCTCTGCACCACCCCATGGCTTTCACAACTCCCAGGAATCCCCAAATCCCAGCTCCTCATGCCTGGAACAGTGGGTTTCAGCCAGGACAGCAGGGCAGCAGAGATTCTGTTGCCAGCCTCCTTTCTTTCCACAGGTGCCTGATAAGCATCAGTACACCCGGGGTCTGCATCCACATCCATCGGCACACGCATGCCTCAAGTTCCACAGCATCACCCATCAGCTCTGCGCTGCCAGCAGGCAGCAAGGCAGCAGTACCACATTCAGCTGCATCAGCTCTGAGAACTAGAGCCTGCAGTCACCTGGCAGGCATCTGAGATGGCCCTGGCCCAGGAATATGCAGCCAAGCCACCTTGTGCATCAGCCAACTGGCTGCATCCACCAGCCCACCTGCAGGTGTATGGAAGGATCCCCTCCACACAAGGTGAGGCTCAAGCAAGGGAGATCCCCCTATTCCCCTTTGGCAGAACTCACTTGATGGAGTCTGGACTCTTGCAGAGATGCAGAGGCTTGTAGCCATCCTCAGAGACAGCCTCAGGGTCAGCGCCAAAGCTGAGCAGCAGGCGCACGCAGTCAGTGCTGGCCGCCACACAAGCCTCGTGCAGGGCAGTCTTACCCCCCGGTGCAAAGTTGACGGCAGCACCCCTGAGCAGCAGGAGCTGCAGGCAGTCTGCGTAGCCCCGGCTGGCTGTGATGTGTAGTGGCGTGGTGAGCTCTTGCTCGTAGCTCAGAGACCACAGTCCTGCAGAGAAAGGGGAGTCAGGGAGCCACATCCAGCCCTGGTTCTGGAGCTGCCCTGTTCTAAGGGAACGTAATATAACCTCCCGAGACTGGGGTTTTCCCTCAAGGAGCTTCTTCCTGCCAGTTACCAAAGTCTCTGCCTTGGGCCTGGCATGCTGAGGGCACAGGACAGCCAGGATTTGGCTGAAGCTGCATGCTGTGCCTGCTCCAAGGAGCAGGAGAAGCCCCAGGGCCAAGGCCTTTCCCAGGGTTTGGCTTCTCATCTGCAGCTCACCTGAACAGCGCAAGACTTCTGCTGGCAGGAGCACAGCGGGTGAGGAGACGGTGGGCAAAGGCAGGGCTGAGAGCAACAGGGTGGCTGGGGAGAGCGGCATGCACGAGGCACGGCCAAAGAAGGACCAGGCAGCAAAACAAATGGATGCTGGAGCAGGCTGTCACAAAGAAAAGCCCTGAGCATGGCACAGACAAGCAAGCCTCAGCAGAGATGGTCATCCAGGGCCTGTGGCAGAGGAACAGCTGAAAGCTGCCAGTTCCTAAAGATGCTGACCCAGCTGGAACCACTGCTGAGCTGGTGCAGCCTGCAGGCACACAGCCTGTAGCTGTTAAAGAAAAACTCTCCTTCAGTCATGCTCCCTGCTGCCTCTGGGATGAGCTGCAGGGCTGTGTCCCATCCCAGCTCAGGACTGCTTCCCTCTTACCTCTTCTTGCAGAGACAGCATGCGCTTAGCTGTTCTTATAGGCCTGGGTTCAAACAGAACCTTCGCAAGGACCCAGCACAGAGCTGTGGCAACTCCTCATCCACGACAGCTTGCAGAGAGCACCAGCAGCCCTGCAGCCAGCTCAGCTGCACAGACAGCACAGGGGCATGGAAGCAGGCTATGGGAGCACAACCTCGAGCCTGAATTCCTGCGTCCAGAGGGGAAACCCAGGAGCTTTCCCACGGAGCCATACAAGGGCCGGGTACCCAGAGCACACCTCACACTCCCAACCACACACAGGGGCACCCCGCCACATCCCACGTACTCACTCCCATCCCCACCTCTCCACAGCCAAAGCAGAACCCATAGCACACAGTTCTACGCCCTGCAGCAGAAGCGAAGCTCTGAGCGCGCGCCCAGCAGCGCCATGCAGCAGCCCTCGTACTCAGCCCACGGAAATTGAAGCGGTAGTTCCTCCACTCCTCCAGGTCACTGGTGTCAAACACCGCGCTGGGACTGAGCTGGTGCTCAGGGTGGCTGAGGAGATCGGCCACAACCCCCCGCTCCCCTGCCAGTAGTGCCTGCCAGAAGGCCTGGGCTGGGCCCTCTGCCTTCCGTGTGCAGATGGGCTCCCGCCGCTCATCCTCTTTGCCCATGGGGCTGCCCATGATGCAGAACCCAGCCTGCAGACGGAGCCACGGCCGGACCAGCTGCCTCCACGGCCTGTGGCACAGCCCCTCCAGCGCGCCGTGCCCCGCACCGCCTGTCTGGGAGCAGGGACATGTCACAGCCCTGCTTGGCTCGGGCTGGGAACGGCTCAGATCTCTCTGCTATTTTGGGAACCCTCGTGACCCTGCAGTAGTGCAACAGGGAAGGGAAGATTCTCCTTCCAGGCAGCAGCGCTTCTGCATCGCTGCCATACAGGGAACCCCTGCAGCACCGCAGCGCGTGGGGTAGAGGAGGAGGGCAGAGGCAGGACATCACCGACAGGACAAGAGGGAGCAGTGCCTGCTGTCACCCCGCTGCTGCCTGTGCCGCTGCAGCACCGTGTAGCTGACTGTGCACTCACAGCACGCAGCTGCCATGCTGCTGGCTCCGTCCAGCGCTGCGCTCACCCCTCTTTGCTGGTTCCAACCAAGTCAGTGGCACCAGGCAGGTTTTTAAACAAGCAATAGGAAAGTTATTTCTTATTGAAGCTCAAAGCCAAAGTAGCATTAGAAGTAGATCAAGGATGGGGAATGAAGCACTACAAGCCAAGTGAACACACAGAATGTGATTATCCTTTAGATCTCTTCCTACATTTCCTTGAAATTCAGCCTTGCTGAGTGCTCCTACAGTTGAAGTTCTGCTTTTTCCCATCCCCCTGACATCCCATCACCAGGCATTCCTCACTGCTGTCCTTTCATCCTGAGATGGCATTTTCCCTTCCACACTTGCTGCACAAGCACATCCTCCCCCTGCATTGGTTTCAGAAGAGCACTTTGCTCACATTTCTTGCTACCATGATTTGTTCAGAGCACATTCTCACAAACACTCCAAACTTCTTGAAAGGTTTCATTTTGTGTCATGCCATTTAGATCATGCAGCCAAGGCAAACTGACACCAACAACAGCGACACGGGAGACCAGAGTAGAGTATAAAATGGGAAACCTTACCCTCCTAATAATGGAAATACATGACTGTACTCTATCCTGCCATCCTAAAGCATCCTTTGCCTGTGCAGACTTCACCACCAGCAGCCCAGGCACAACGCAGTGCATGAAAGAGTGACAGGAGGGAAGCCCTCGGTGCACTGCCTCACCTCGTGGGACCCTCAATTTCCCCAAAGACGCAAACAAGCACCCTATAAGAGCCCGAGTTCCCCAAGTCTAAAAGCACCACAGGGGAGACAAAAGGTGTTTGAGTTGGTGTCACTGCGCACGGACACCTGAGGGCTGCTCAAATACCAGCAGGGAGGAACCTCAGTAATGCCAGGTCACAGGGCTCTAATTTTAGGTCATTGCTTGGCACGTTTCAGCAGCCGTTTGTGCAGTTCAGGGACACACAGCCGAAGACTCAGGTGTGTCTGATGCCTTATGCTTTTTATCTTTGGTCGGGCCTGATGCACAGACCTGTTTGGTTGGGTTTTTCACAGTTTGAATCTTTGGTGATAACATCCACTTCTGGGTGACGCTGTTTTACAGAAGCTGCTCTGTTTTCTCCGGGACACAGATTTCATAAGCGAGCTGCTGAAGTGCCTGCCAGCCCAGCACAGGGCAGGAATTAAAGCGTGCAATTAATGGCTTTCTGATAAGTGGTCTCAGTTACGCAAAGGGAAATAACATCTGTATTTTTCTTCCTAAGTAGACTGTAGCAATACAAAACACGGTTATAAAAATCCTGGATCTCAGTAACCTTCACCATCCAAAAAGTGTCAGCACCTGCATCTGAAAGCTCACCCCTCCTGTTGCCTCTTGCTAGGATGGATCCCCCAAAGCCCAACTCAGTCACTACGGTCTGCAGCCTTGTGCCACGATGCTTGAGAAGAGCCGGCGCCCCTGCAAAGCGGCCTTCATCTCAGCCTCTCCACCCCAGCACAGGCGTCACTAACAGCCTCCCCTCAGCGTTCCCACTCTGCACACCCACCAAATTTCTTGCTGGTCCAGCGCAGCTCCTCACTCCTGGTCTCAATGATGAGGTTGATGGCTGCACTCCGGGTGAAGAACTTCTGAACCATCTCCAGGTCCCCGGTGAAGAGCGCGTTCTGCACCAGCAGATCCTGGCACTGCAGGGGCTCCCTGCGCCCGACCCAGGACTGCTGGGCAGCCACATCGCGCTCAGGGTGGAGGGAGTGGGGCCGAGCACGCCTCTGCTGATCCAGCTGCTCCTTGTCCTGCTGCAGCGAGCGCTGCGTGGCAGAGCTGAAGGGAAGGGAGCAGTCCATGACTGGCAGCACAGAGGACAACTCCAAACCTTGCAAACCTGCTGCAGCCAAGAGTTTCCTTCTCAGGCTGCCTCCTGCGCAGGCTGCTCCCAGTTTGCAGCTTCCCAGCCCTGGGCTGGGTTTGGGCACAGGCTTAACTCACCCCCGTATAAATAGTCCTGCTTGGCAGCTCCCCTGCGACCTCCCACCTTCCAGGAATTTATTTTCAGCTCGTGGATGCAGTCACTGGCATAGACTGGGCTGCGCACAGGACAGAGGCAGCCTGAGACTTCTCTCTGTGCTTTCTGGTTCACTCTACAGAATCCCTGCCCTGCACTGTGCCCCCACCTTGGAAACAAGGGGACAGAGACAAGGGTGGTGGTAGGGAGGGTGTTGTCAGAAATCATATGGGACAGAGTACTGAGGTATTCCCTTCAGATCAATCCATAAGGTCTAAAAAAGCCCTCCCAAGGCCCATGTGCTGCTCCGGGAACTGCAAGGAACACAAGGTAATGAGGAAGGGCAGTGAGGAAGCCTGCACCCTGATGAGCATAGGCTAAGCCCTGGGAGGGTCAGCTTAATTCCCTGGCACTGCAGCAGACAGACTCCTATGGGAACCTCGGGATGTTGGTAACGCCTTTGGGTCTCTGGGTAGGTTGTGTCCAGCTGTGCTATGCACCTCCAGACATAGAAGCCACATTTTGGATGCCCAAATGCAGCCACTGAGGCTTGTGGTGAGATAGAAAGTAGATCTTGTTAGCCATGATGTTGTGGTGGGTTGACATAGGTTCAGGACCTGTGAAATGTTTTCAGTCTCAGATTACTTCCCTATAACTAAGCTGTTAATTGCTGTGCCCTGTCAACATAACCTTCCAGCTGGGCAGGCTGTCACTCACCAGCTGCTGCAGGAACATCAGCCATCCCCTGCACGGTGCTCTGTGCTCAGCCCAGTCCTATAACTGACCAGAGCCCGGGGTGCTGGGCAGCGCTGCAAGATGCCACTGGAGGCTCTGCACCTCTCAGCTGCACACTCACTGACTTCCTGGACCACACAGTCCCACTGCAGAGCGAGGTGCTGTTAAAGCCACCACACTGGCCCTGCAGATGTCTCTCCTGGGCTTCACCATCTATCCCACAAAACAAGCACATTGTGTCACTGGTTACACATGAGGCTGGATTTCACTTCTGTACTTTTCAGTGTCTGTTTCCAGAGCTGGGGAGCCCAAAAGAACCCACAGTCTAGTTCCAGGTCCACTGGCTGCCTTCAGGAGCTGGGACAGGAGATCCCACTGCCACTGCACAGATCAGCAATGCTCACGAGCAGAGCACACACTGCTCTGGTATGGCTTGTGTGGCTCTGGGGACACAGGTGTACTTATTCTCCAGGAGAACAGTGTGGTCTTATCTCCAACCCCACTTTCATAGAATCACAGAACGGTTGGGTTGGAAGGGACCCCAAGGATCACGAAGCTCCAACCCCCCACCAATGCAGGGCCACCAACCTCCCCATTGCACAGCAGCCCAGGCTGCCCAGGGCCCCATCCAACCTGGCCTCCAACACCTCCAGGGATGGACGGGGCATCACAGCCTCTCTGGGCAGCTGTTCCAGCCCCTCACCGCTCTCATAGAAAACAGCTTCCTCCTGACATCCAACTAAGCCTTCCCTCCTTGAGCTTAAAACCTTGTCCTGTCACTGCCTACCCTTGTAAAAAGTTGTTTCCTTTCCTGTTTATAATCCCCTTTTAAATACTGGAAGGCTGCACTGAGGTCACTCCACAGTTTCTCTCCTCTGTGCTGAACAAGCCCAGCTCCCTCAGCCTGTCTTTGTAGGGAGGTGCTGCAGCCTCTGAGCATCTTTGTGGCTCCTCTGGACCCTCTCCAACAGCTCCCTGTCTTTCTCATACTGGGGGCTCCAGACCTGGACACACTTTGGAATCCACCTGCAAGCTTAACAACACAAAAACCCCAGCAGAGCAGTGAGAGGAGGGCACACAGAGAACACATCGGCCAGGAAGATCTGCTCATCTTCAGAGGCAGCACAGGGCTTCCCTCACCCCCTCATCTGCTGCAGGAGTGGCTGAGGAACTAAAAGAGGGGGCACCCCGTAGTTCCTCCTACTGCTCCTCTTCCTTTGTCCCATTCACACAGTGAGCTCAGAGCTGGATCAGGAGCTGCCAGATCAGCTCAGCCACCAAGAATGCTGCTGTAAGGATTTCCATGTAAACTCTGGCTTTCCTCCCTCAAGGAGGGAGGAAATCCAGACCCCTCCAGCCTCATCCAATTTCTCTGCGCTCACCACACCACAGAACCCTCATGTCTGTGTGCATATCTGTACAGACGTGCACAGCTCTCTCATTTTCCCTCAGTGCAGACACCCATTCCCCAAACCCTCTCCCCTCTCTGCAGACAGATGATGACTAGAATTGACCAGAGGTGCTGTCCCAGGGCAATAGGTACAGACAATCACAACTATTTTAATAGGTCAAATCACAACTATTTATTCTATTTTTCTTGTCCTTCCCCTATGTCTCCTTCACTTCTGCTGCCTCTTGCACTACTAGCAGACACCTTTTACCCAGTACTATCTTTATTTACCAGTCCCTAGCTCTTTTCCAGCCTGTCCCTCCAACTCCTGCTGCTGCAGCAACTGGAAGAAATGGGGTCATGCTTCCCCAGCTGTGGCTTAGGCACTGCATCCAGACATAGACTTCCACCCTCAGAGCTATTCACACAGCCAACAGCCACCCAGGAAACGGGTCCAGAGGGACAATCGGGCTGCTGGGCAGAGCTGAGGGCTCCAGACATCACATCCACATTCAGGAAGTTTCACAGACCTTGAGCTGAGATTGTGCACATTTCTCTGCACGCTTCATAACAGCTGCTGCTATGGAGTAGTAGCAGTACTATGGAGTCTTCTTACCTCCATCACTACAAAAACAAACAAAAGCACAAAACGCAATCAGACTCTTCCTCCCCCTCCTAAAAAACTCACTGACTTCCCCTCCCATCAGAACGTTTCCTTTATGTTTATGTTAGCACAAAGGTTTTCCTTCAAATCCAGCTCACCGAACCCACCGTGTGCACCATAGTGGGCCGCACAGCCTCCTGTGGGGGGTGGGGGAAGGAAGCACCTCCTCCTGACTGTTTTTGTACATTATTTCCATACCAGCTACATAAGATCAGCAGCACCCTCTGTCTCCAGTGACTTCAGGGCCTTTAGCAAGTTCTGCCTCCAATGTTTTGGAGCTCTGTGTGAGGAAGGAAAGAATACTGAGAGAGTCAGAGTAAATGGGGTCACATGCAACCCCACAACCCGTGCCAGACCCAAGGAGAGAAGAGGATGTACATCCTCTAAAACTGCATGTTGCTGTTGTATTCAGCTATCAGTCCTCTTCTAAGAATTTTTACTGTTACTGGAAGAGGTGCGTTTTGACTCTTCCTGCAACATTTATTTGCTTTATCATTAAACTTTCCTTGTGTTGGAGGCCAAGATGGGCAGATCAAAATCAGAAAGCTTACAGTGTAATTCTCATGGTATAGCAGTGCACATAGAATGCCACGGGGTCAGCAGCTGACCATCACTGGGAGACAGTGCAGTGCAGACCTGCAGCCATCAGTGTTAGGAGCAGGATCGTCTACTGGCAGGTCCCCAGATGTCACAACTTCCCCACAGGAGGCAGTAATTAGGGACAAGGAGAGGAGAACAAAGTTGAGCTGAGCTCCCTTGCTTGGGTACACTGCGAACACCGCTGAGTGCTGTCAGGAATCTGGATAAAAGCAGCACCAAACCATCATTTTGATCCTGATGAGCAGTTCAGACCTGGTGAGCTACTCTCAAGAAGTGAGTACGAGGATCAACACACAGCACCAAGGGCTGGTATCACAGATCACGCCTCTGGTCATATCCTTTCCCTCATCCCAACTGCAACACACTGCTCTCCTTTCCCAGGCTCTCTGCCACTCTTCTCAAGCCCTGGCTTAAGCCTTCTCTGTCACACTCGGTCCTTTCCAACCTCTCCTGTGGTCCTCTTGGCAGCCAGTGTCAGTGATTATGTGTCACTCTTATTTTTTATCCTTCTCTTTCTTCCCTTTCTCTTTCTTTCTCCCTTCTCAGTTTCCATTCTACCCAGCTCACCTTTACCCACAGAAGCCCCATGCCCAAAGGAACTATTCCCCAAAAATTCCTGGTTGCTATGCAGAAAGAGCAGAAAAGCAGGGGTCCCTAACAGTCAGGAGCAGTATGAGTGATCTCACAGGGCCCAGCAACACATCCATGCTCAGTGTAAAACACCGCCCCAGGTTACAGCAGAGTTTGTGCCTCTTCAGCACAAGGCAATGACCCAAATCCTCTGTCCCGCATCCATCTGGCCACCTGCATTTACCCACTGCCTTGGGAGCGCAGGAACAGCAGCCTTGGGACAGGATGGGGGAAGCAATCCCACCTCCCGAGACCACTTAAAACCTCAACCATGAAGAGACCCCATGTTTGCATCCTGTCATCCTCTGGTTTGACAGCTTCTGCCCTCACCCCCAATTCGCTTCAGCCCTGGTAGCTGCACAGGGGTCTTTTCTGAAAATAGGGCGCTGTAGTCACCTGTTTCCTATTCAGGACAGTCAGGAAAGCAGCCAGAGCTGTTACTATTCAGAGGATACAGGTGCCAGAGTCCAGCCTGCATTTGAGTACACATGGGGAGCTTGATAATCATCCCACTAATTTTGGACCTAAGGTGGCACCAAGCAAAAAAATCGCAGCTGGAACCTCCTAGTGCTGAAAATGATCAGGAGGAAGAGGACAAGGGGACGAGGACAAAGCAGAGCCAGGAGCCGTGTAGCACGGCACAGGAGCTCTGTTTTGCACAGCCTGGGAGGACAGCCAGGTGTGCCCAACCAGCAGAGGAACGGCAATAGGAAGGAGCAGTGAGGCTGCCCTCCCTTCCAGCCACCCAGCAGTGCTCAGGAAACCTCTGCTGAAGCTCCTGCTCCATCTGCTCCCTCACGCCTGGCCCCTCCAGCCACAGACT